GTGGGGGTACATACACCCCCAGGATTCTCTCTCACACACACACACACACACTACACCCAGCATGTGGGGGTACATACACCACCGCGCTCACACAAACAACACCCAGTGGGGGTACATACACCCCCAGGATTCTCACACACACAAACACACACTACACCCAGCATGCAGGGGTACATACACCCCCAACATTCACACATACACACACAACACCCAGTGGGGGTACATACATCCCCAGGATTCACACACACACACACTACACCCAGCATGTGGGGGTACATACACCCCCAGGATTCTCTCACACACACACAGAGGTGCACACACCTGGGGAGCTGCACAGCCGGGGACACACACCCATCACCCAGCTGCACACCCGCACAGACACACACCCACGAGCTGTACATCCAGCGGGGCCTAGGGGGGTGGTGACAGCCCTGCGCCCTCGGGGGTGTGTGGAACCCGCTGAGGTGACACCCAGCTCTGTCTTTTCTCCCCTACAGTCTGACTGCCGCCTGGCCAGTGAGAGGTACCTGCGATCACAGCCAGCAGTGCGACTGTTGCTGGAGGGTTTTCTCAGGTAGGTCACCCACTGTGCGGGACAGGGCAACAGCTCTCCCGCACACTCCCCCCACACAGCAGTTAAGGTGTTTCCCCCCTCGGTCCTCCTTGGCTGTGAGGGGGTACCCCGCTCCCTGCTTGTTCCACCTTGGTTTGGGGCCCGTTTCCCAGTGCTGGGGTGACGGAGCAAAGTGCTGTTGTTGTGTGGAACTGAATGGAATGCTGTCAGAAACCAGCTGCACCGGGGGTTGTTGATTCCCTGTGCACAAGGCCAGTTCCCTGATTCTGCCCCGATTTCCCAGCTTGTTTTTCGCTCTTTCCAGAGAGGTGATGTTGAAGAGACCCGACAACACCCTGGAGTTTGCAGCAGGTGAGGGGGGGCTGTTATTTAGATGAAACACCTGGGCGAGGACCGACTGTCCCTCCTCGCACCTGGAGGGGACAGCAGGGCTGCCGGTCACCCGCGCTGCGGGGGTCCTTTTTCCATGAGGGCAGTTACAGTGACGGGGAGCAGCCGGATGGAGCTTTCCGGCGCACGGGGGGATCCTCTCTCATCCCTTTCCCTCATTTCAGAGTATTTCACCGATCCGGAGCTGCCTGGAAAGATCCAGAAACAACTGGAAAAACTGGAGCAGAGGGATTAGGGGAGAAGCACTGTCTGGAAGAGGGTCATGAATGCACAGGGGTTTCCACTCCTCCAAGTTGGGGTGGTGCTCACCTAATAACAGTCGGCAATGCCTGAAGGTGTCTGAGTGTCTTTTGGGGCGACTGTTCACCCCCAGCCCCGTGTGACAGGACTCCCACCCTCCATGGTGCCACAGCCCCGCGGTGCTGGTTGCCACAACCGTCCCTCGATCAGGGTGTCCCCAGCGCCCGGGCAGGGGGCAGCCCCGGCCGCGCTCCGGCTGCCACTCCGTGCTCCGAGTCACACCGAGACGTTTATTTGGCGCGGTGCGGCGCGGTGTGCGCACAACCAGGCGGCCTGCAGCCACCTGCGAGCTCCTGGCGAGTCCCTGTCCGTTGCGGGGGTACAACCCCCTCCTCCAGCGCCGGGCAGGACGGGAACAGGCAGCGGGCGCCGCGGAGACACGGCTGTTGGGCCACGCG